CGCTTCGCACCCCTTGCTCCTGGTAGTAAGGGGTAACGTAATAACGGAGTGAGCTGCACCTGTGCGAGTCACAGCTCCTGCGGGCTCCGTCTGCCTACATCTGCGCGGCAGATGAAGCGTCCCTGGGCTGCGCGAAGCCTTTAAGAACGCGTGATCTGTGGTTAGAAATCACAGTGCCGATGGTGGGTGCTTGCCGCCCGCGGAGGGTGAGACCCCTCGCGCTGCCCAGCCCGCCGTCGTGCGGGGCTGGCCGGGGCGGGCACGACCTAACTTCTCAGAATATCGGGCTGTTCAGCCGGGCAGCGAGCAGCTGCCGGAGAAGTGCCGTGTCATCGCAGACGAGGAGAAGTCATGTGCAAAATCCGTCATGAAAAGAGGGGGACGTTGATGTGACAGCGCCAACGCGAATCTCCACGGGGCAGCCCCACGCTGGGAGACCCCGGCCCTCCCGGGGACCCCCCCAACCCAGCCTGCAGCTGGCTGGTGGCACCCCGACCTGCACGTAGCCCTGGGCAGCCCGGAGCAGCACACAGGCTCCAGTATTTATGCCAGCTTCTGGACCGGTTTTGGGGCTGTGTGTTACCCGTTCCTCGGTTAGTTCGATTTAACTTGGGGTCGGTAACCCTGCATGAGCTGCGGCCACCCCTTTGGCCCTCCAAGGGAAGGGGATGAAAACCCGTGCGCTTGTACGCGGCTCTCGACGAGTCATCTTGGAAACCCTGAGCTGCTCCAGAGCCGCTTCTGCTCCCTCGCACAGCCAAGGTGCTGCTGCCTCCTACTGCCAGAAGGCCCCCGGCCCTGTGGACGTGGAGCATCTTCAGCCCGGGGGGACCCACGGGTATCTCCTCACCTTCCCCAGCGGAACGGAGAAGGATGTGTCCTGCCCTCGGGTGGGCTGGCGGCACCCCCTGTCTAACCAGAGCAAACGAAGATGAAAATAATCAGGCCAGTTCAGACGCTGGGCTTGGTCCGGTATTAACGGACACACAAACCCGCCTGAAAACAGCCTTTTCTGCCCGCTGGGGTAAAGCTCAGCGTGGCTGAAGGCTGAGCCCGCAAAGCAGGTAATGTTCCCAGAAAACGTATTACTGACGTGCCGGGGAGTGAAGGGCAGCATCTTTCCGCTGACCGTTCTAAGCCACGGCCTGTGCTGCCTCACTCTGCTGATTTTAAGTGGGATTTTGCAACCCGCATCGCAGTGTGGCCCAGATTCCTCCCCCGAGCCCCAGCTTGCACTGTGATTTGCAGAACGTGCTTAGATCACCCTCAAAATGGCAGGTATGGCAGGGTAGGCTTAGGCTGTCTTTATGGGCTGAATCCCTGGAGGCAGACCCCCTTTGGATCGGCGCTGGAGCTGACGCTGACCGTAGGTCATGCTGTGGAGCGTGAGGTGGACAGCGGGTGCTCGCAAGTGGCAGCTCACGAACGCGTGGAAACTTGGAAGTGAAATTCTGTAGGCTAAATTCATCATCCAAACTGAGACCGACAGAAAAAGTAAACAAACAGCATGAACAGCACTGAGTGAATTAAATTTCAAACAGTAATACATAATGATAGCAACATAGGCAGTATGTTTTATGTTTTTAATATGCTTTAACACACAAAACTATTTCTTTTTTAAAAAATTTCTTGCATGTATATTATTATTGTGGTGTTCTTTTCTTTCCCGTCATGGCCATGATTCTCTTCTCATGTGGAGCAGAGGACATCAAGACTAATTGCGCTGAAATTAATGTCAGTTGAAAATCTGAACTGTTTCAGTTAGCTGCCAAGTGCTGGAAGCTTCCCCTTTTCTCCTCTGGCCTTGACAGCGTTTTGGAAGCTCCTTGTATGTGAGACCTCACCTCCAGGTTACCCTTCCACTCCTTATTTTGGTTGCTCTGTGATGTGCCTGGCCAGGAAGGCCTGTGGCCTTGCTGCGTTCCTCTGCTAACTCCTCGGCGTCACACCGTGGTCGGTCCCCATGGCCGGAGCATCCTCCGTGCTCCACAGTCTCGCTCACTCAAATCCTTTCCACTTGCCAGGCATCAAACAGTAACCTCACCCGCTGCTTTCTCACTTCAGAACGTCCCATCTATCGCCAAGAGTGGTACGACCGTATCCGTGCCGTACAGTAAATTGACGCAGGCTGTTTAAAAGAGGTTCGGGCCCGTGCCTGAAGGAACGCCTTCCATGCTGCCCGTTGCAACCCACGGCTTCCCCGCAGCCACCGGTTCCCCCCTGTCATCCCTCGCTGTGTGACTTGTCAACATATTTTCAGCTCCTGTAGGGAGTGAAGCCTGTCTCTTTAGGAAAGCATGGTGTTATATAAATAAAAATACGCCGAGTACTATCTAATACTGCTCGTTGTACATATATTTTTAATGATTCATGTAGACATTACTTGCCCCCTCATTGTGCTCTTTCCGCTGTTAACAACTCTTCATTAAGAGTAAGCAAGCAACTGTGCCCAGTCAAGCAGACTTTCTAAGAAGAGCTGAAGGCCTAGGAACAATATGTAATTCAAATCCATTACATAAAGAATGCGTGTAACGAGAAATCTGAACATCATCTTAAAAGTTGACATTTCCCACTTCTCAGACTCTCCGTCTTGAGTGTGGCATAGCGACTGCCTGAGGAAGAGTAAAGATAATTTTAATGCAACATAAAATAAGGGGGAGGTGAGAAATACTACATTCTTAGTCAACATCCTCTACAAAAAATATCGTCATAGTATCTCTTTGGTATAACCTACATTTATAACACGTACCCAGCAAGAAATGAATTCCCAGTGAATTAATAAGACCTCAGCTGAATGCTTTCAAAGAACAGGAAAGGAGTTCTGCAGGTATTGTAGGATATAGAAAGAAGCCTGGCTTAAATAGGATTCTGGTAACTGGTGTAGGAGATTCTTTAGCAACAGTACAGTGTGTCTCAAGACCATGATTCTCTACGTCTTACCCCACTTTTTGACACACCAATGCAGAGGTGGTGGGACACGGTCAGACCTTTCTTTTGCCTGCAGATTTCAGCCATTGTGGGGCAGCCGTGTATGCGCAGCGTGGTCCAGGATGAGACCATGCGTGTTGCACCTTGCAGTGTTGGGGACAGAGTAGTTGCTGTTACACCTCACCCCTTCTCTCCAGTAAATCCATGCCTCCTCTCGTCCGAACAGCCTAATCCATCAGCAATTCTTCTGGAGGGCAGATCGCTACATTGCTTCAAGGGGAGGGCTACTGAGCACAGTCACAGATTTTTCGGTGTGCAATGCGCTGGTTGCAAGGCGGTGCTCTGAGGGCAGCTCCAGCAACTGCTCTGAGCTCTTTGACCGGCTGGAACAGGGCGTATATGGTTCCTCAGTGAGCGTTTACATAAAGCCCCGGCGCAAACCTCTTCCAAAGGATGAAAAAGCCAAGAAGCATGATATAGTCTTGCTTCAGCAGCTCATCACCATACTGAGCAGTACTTGCGTCAGCTGGGCACTGGCTCCACAGGGGCAAGGGCTCCTGAAGTAGCATGGGTGTTGCAGAATCAGTCCCTCAGTGCTTTAGGATGTGTTTTGTTTGTCTGGGGGGCTCTGAATTAGTCTATTGAATATATTTTACAATACGAGGTTTGCTATTCAAATTTAAATACCGTGTTCCACTTTAATTAGATACTTATGGGCTTAAGTGCAAGGAGTATTAAACATAAGTTTTTTTCATAACCGCACAGTTTACAGCAAGGCAAACCCACTGGATTGTCTAGTCTAGCCAGCTGTAGATCACAGGCTACCCAGTTGCACTGTTTTGCCTGCTTTCAGCTCAGTAACTTGCAGTTTGAGCAGCTGCATAGCCCATAGTTTAGTACTCTTCACATAATAAAATGTACATTCGTAAATAATTTTACTCTCTAAATAGCTTTACTTTCTGCCTGTATCTATATGTATTCAACCCGATAATGTCTCATTAAGTCACTGCTAAGTTCCAGCGCAATGGCCGTTGTTGCTTCAGCAGAGAGCGAAATGGGCTCTGAATTGGGTTTCCCTACTCATTTAAATTTGCAGTCTCCTTTGAAATTCCTCAGGATGAAAGCTGTGTTTATGTCTGATCACTAACGTGCGCCTAACCTTAACTCTGACTCAGCACGTGTAAGTGCTCCTCGATTCCATGCTCTTATATGCCCCTTCACTGCATTATTACATGCTGTATTCGTTAGGTGGTTCTTCTCTAGTCACTCCAGAAGACGCCAGAAATATTGTGAATGATTTCTCTCCTGCAAATATCATCACAGCCTATTTATACATTGTAGCTTCTGAGATTTGATAAGACCAGAGCGTAATATGGCATGGATACAGATGCTGTCAAAGTTAAGTTAACACAACATATTTCATCGCCCTCCCACTTAACATGCATAATACACAAATGGTTGAAAACGATCGCTCTTTTAAAGAAGCAAAATATATGGATTTAATTTTTAATGATTTAGCTTGGCAATTAATCCAAATTATTAGTTAACAATAGCTAAAACAGAGAACTATAATGGATTCTCTGGATAATGAAAATATTTATTATTTTAATAAGTTGCATGGCTGGAAGTCTAAGTCAAGTGTAAGTCTACTGGCCACATATTGCTCTTGATTCACATGTAGAACCCCCACTGAGGTAGGTGGATGGCTGTGTCCCCGAACGACGAAATATAAATTGCTGCTTCCGAGTATTGATGACAACATCTATCATGTCAGCTGCAGAATTGATCCATCTTAAATTATGAGCCAGGGCTGCAGGAATTATGCCAATTAGAGAGACACAGATTTTTTTTTTCTCTTTCCTATATTTTTTTCTGCACACAAAAGGCTTTGAGACCTTGTTTACATTATTAAAGTCCTTTTGTCGCCTGAGACCCAAAGAAAGATCTAAAAAGAAAATGTAATTGGTGAACAGAAGTGCTACAAGGGCCGTTTCGGGCTCAGGGGAGGGGAAGGTCATGTTTTTAACCTGGAAACAAAAGGACTGAACCCGATGCTACGAGTGGGCTTTCCCTGGGGTCCGGCTCAAACAAAGCCCTTTTGCTGGACGGTGGCTTTCTCGGCGATGAGGAGGGCACGACCCGCTGATGATGAGCACGGCAGGTACAAGCCATCCTCCGAAGCAAAGCCCAGCGAGGGGTCTGCAGGTTGGGGTCAGGCACGGGGGGGCATGGGGGGCAACAAAGAGAGGGTCCCCATTGCCCATGCCTGCCGGTCACCCCGCGACAGATGTCAGGGGCCATCTCACGAAGTGGTCAAGGGAGCAGCAGATGGAGACCTGAGATGGCCACCGCTGCCAGCGGCACACGATGCCCCTTGGACCTCAAAGAGAAAGGTTTTTAACCTCTGCTTCATCTTTCCTCCAAAGATTTCTGAATTTGCGAGCAGTGTCGAATTTGGTTAAGCGATTACTACATATTCCCTTTTATCTTACGTTCCTGCCTTGTAAACAGCTTTAATAAATGCCGCCATGATTCTCAGCGACTGTGCTGGTTTTCGGGTTGCATCCTTTCATAGCACCTTTTGGAGCAGCGGCTCCCTGAAGAAAAACTCTGCGCGACCGAGGTTGCTGCCTGGCTGCATTCGCCGAACAGGCAGAGAGAAGCTGGAGATAAACGCAGTGGTGCACCATGGCACTACCGCCTGCCGTGGCGTGGAGGCAGGCAGGGATCGCGCTGTGCATGTTCTTCATCTCAAGCCACTGCCTGCACCACACGGGCAAGCCCTGGGCAAAGCCAGCACCAAGACATCTGGGAAAGATTATGATGGTACGTATATGTATGTTTTTGGATAATTACATTTACAAACTAAAACAAGGAGGAGAGGCAGGTGGTCCTTGCTGAGCAACCACGTGGGTTAGTGTGTGTTTTCCGGGGGTCTCCAGTGCTGCTGTGAGCTGGGTACCAGCAGCCAGACCCACTGTGGGGCATGGGGTAGGGACAGGGGTATGGCCAACATCACATTGCCGTGCCAGCCTGTTGTCACCTGTTGTGGTCCCCAGGTCATCTCCTCTTGCATCTGAAACAGGCTGTCCCAAACTGGACATGGAGATTGCAACCTGGCTTGAATACAAGTCCCCAGCAGCTGCTTTTCTCCAAACCCGAGCAAACGTGCTCAGCTTGGGAGGCAGATCCTCTGCCTCGAACACCTTGCCTTGCAAAGTGAGGGTTTGTTCGAGTCAAGGAAATAGTCCAGCAGCATCATTTGGTAGGAAAGAGGTATGGATCTGGACTTCCCAGGGGAATCTAACAGTGAGGAACAAGAGATGATGGTGGTAATGATCTGCCTGGGTGACAAGGCGGCTATTCAGAAAGAACAGGGACTTCAAAGAAGAAACCAGTTTAGGATGGGATCCTTTCAGAAATTCGTAATGCCTCAAGAGGTGGCAAATGACTGGTCATGGGTACAAGTCATCCCATCACTGCCATGTCAAAATGTTTCCTCTGCCTTCCTCTAGCAGCTGCGGGTGCTGGTCAGTCCCTGGGCTTGTGGGATTGCTGTTTGGGTCCAGAGCAGCCCATCCGACCTTCCCTCACTATTTTGATACTCGATGAACTGCTGGGCTCAGCAGAGCCCCAGCAAACATCTCTCAGCTGAAGCCCTCATTTCTGGGTTACCGGGAGTGTCATCCAGGGGAATGTTTTATTTCATGAGGGAAAAAAAGGGCCTTTTGGAAAGGCAGTAAGGTGTTTAAAGCAATATTTCTGGATGTCTTAGTGGTTTTTTTATGTACAGAAGATTGTGTATCCAACTTAAAGGGCACGGACCTCAGAGAAATTCAAAGGATCTTTTGAAAAGAGGTTAAATATATTTAAAATTTATGAGTGTGCACCCATGCAAATTGGAAAAGGAAATTAAACTATATCTGCAGAAAAGGAAAAATAAATCTACTTACATATGATGTAATTTAGAAAGTCAGCTGTACCTTTGAATGATGTCTGGACGAAAGGATAAGGTAATGCTGAGGAAGGTTTAATATCTGGGCTTAAAAAGCCACATGGGGCCATAGGGAAAAAGGGTTTGCAATATACTTGTACACTCATTATGAAGAGTTTCCTGTAGGATGAAAACTATGCCCAGCTGGCTTTTGGCTAAGAGAGAAAGATACACAAACAGAGAGCAAGTACAGTTTTTACCACCTCATCACCATTTGCTGTACAACTAGACCCACACTCCATATAGCTAACCTACGTGCCAATGTTTTTTCCTAAGTCAGGTTAGTATTTGTGGCTCTCTTATTTCCTATGCTGTGCAAAATAAACTTCTAGTCAAAATAACTGGCCTGAGAACAAGGGGAAAAAATGATAGGAGAGAGATGTAAAGCAGAAGGCAACAATTTGGATATTTCAGGGAGAAGTAAAGCACTCTCCGACTTAAAGAAAGCAACAAGAGTAATTCTCAGGATTTTCCTTTAAACTTAAGGTGGAAGGTGTCTGTGTTTCAAGCCTGGCGTGGCACAGGGCGTTACAATCCGTGTGGCACGTTAGTTTAGACGGTGATCTCAGCTCAATTTCTCATGAAGAGGTGCTCGCCGAGCAGTGCCGAACAATTGGGTCCCTGGGTAATAATTTTGTTGGAGAGGCCATGAGAACGGCCGTGGAATTAATATTGCTGCACTGTGCTGTTCTGATTCTGAGGGCGAGAGAGGACTTTGCTTTATAATGCTGACACCGCAAATCCCTTAATGAGCACTAAATTCACTTAACAAAATTCTAACTCCCTCAGATTTCTGATGTACCTAAGCATGTCGGCTTTACCTTGGAGTTTTCTGTGTTCCGCTGGCCTACACCATCAACCTGAGCATCCATAAAGCCAGCGTTTCTCTTTATTCACTCTACCTGTTTATTCCTTAGTATATTTACCCTTTTATTAAGAGCCTCCACTTGGTTAAGGCTTGTTCAAGTGTAAGCTCAACAGGAAGCATTTTCCTTTATACTGTAATAACTCTATATTGTTGCCTAGAGGGTGACAGAAAGTAACGTAAGATTCATAAAAATATAACTGTCTGAGCCAAGTAGATAGAATTATGGTTAACATTAACCAAAGCGTATTTCTCGGTCCTATAGGGTGAAAT